TGCCCAGCCTGCCACGGCCCCAGCGTTTTGAGTGAGGCTGTCCCGGGCATGCCGGCTGTTCTGGCCGTGATGGATACGTTGTTTGTTCTGGCCAGTGTGCACGCGAGCCCCATGCCGCACCGTGCCGTGCCACGCCGTGCCACGCCGTGCCACGCCCCGACAAATACCGCGCGCCGCGTTCTCGCTTTCGGACTTTACTGCGGCGAGGCGGCCTGCATATGGCGGCGCGTTGCGGTGCAAGGGACGCCGTGGGACGGGACGGGGCTTCCGTGAGACGCCGCCACCCTTTATCCCGGCGCGTCTGCTGGGTCGCGGGTTCAACCCCCGCCCCCGCCAGTTGGTTTACGAGGCGGCCTTGCCCCCCGCGCTTCCACGCCCCTCCACGCCCGCGCGGGGGCCCCGCGGCGTGTATCAGCTGGCGACACGCAAAGGCCTCCCCCTCCGCTTTCTTCCCTGACTTGCTATTCACTGGGCCAAAATCAGCGACAGGGTTGACCGGCAGGGCGTTGAGGCGCGCGGCGTGCCGAGCCAAGCCTGGGGGCGGGCCGAGCGTAGCCGAGCGTAGCGGGGCCCGCCGCGTGGCGGTATACACAACGCTGATGGTGACAGGTCGCCCCGTCTCACTTGTCTCGCGCGTCACTAGTACTTCCCCCGGTGCCTGGGCCCCAGCCTGGGCCCCGGGGCTTGGCGTGGCCTCGGCGGCCTCGGCTCAAACTTGTCCAGACGGCCTGCCCTGCCCCGGCCTGCCCGACCCAGCGACCGCCCACGGCACGTCCGGAAGGGCCTCGTGCCGACGGCGTGGAGCTCGCTGTCGAAGAACAAGGGTGGCGAGAGCGCCGAGGGCGGAGCTATCGGTACGACACATCGCCCTATCGGGCCTATCGTGTCGGCGGAAACGATTCGCTTTCCGCTGCGACGACAGGCCGCCTTGTTTCTGAATGGATTGGCGTTCATCGACTCTGCCGGCCATTAGCGTGGAGAAAGACGCCGTCTAGCCAACACACGCGCCGCACACGCGCAGTGACCGCCACAAAAAGGGGCCGCGAAAAAAAGGGCTCCGAACGAAATCGCTTTTGTTTGTTATGTAAAACCGGCGTGCACTCTGCGAGTCTGCGGACGGCGGCGTGGCCGGACGGCCAGGCCCGGCGTATACAAGGCCTTTTAATGGCCGCGCGTTTCCGGCGACAGTAAAATATGCATCGCCGGCGGCAATCAAATCACCGTAAATTACGAATCTGCCGCGGGCGGCCGCGGGGTGTCGTCCGATGGCCGACCGCGGGGCAGGCCGCTTGCCCAGGCTTGCCCAGGCCTGCCCCAGCCACCACGACTGGCGCGCCATCACGCGGTGGCCTCGCCAACCAAGACGAAGATACCGCGGAGGCAGTCGGTCGTATCCGATCGGGCTTTCGGTCATCCATTTCTCAGCGAGCTCATTCGTCTGCAGCCGTTTATCTGCTGCCACCAGCATTGTTTGCGTGACGGTTGAGGCTGCTGTCGCCCCCCCCCCCCATTTTCTACCCTCCGCTCATCCCCGCTTCCTGCACAATCCCTCACCTTAAATCACCTGGCCGCTGCCTATCTGCCAGGTTGTGCCTGGCCAAAATAAAGATTGGGGCTTGTTGTGTTTAGCAGGCCATTCGTACACTCCGGCTGGCCCCGTGATCTTCCTACAATCAGCTGAAGATCGACTCAGCACTCTGTTTTGTCTGTGAATTTTTCGTGTTTTCTACTGTGGCCCCGTGCATGTCCGCCTTGGTGTGTCTCCAGGGGCCGTGGCAACATCTAGCTCTGCTGTTTGGGGAAGAGGGCGTGGACGTGGCGGGCGATGGAGGGGGGTGGAGGGGGGAGGGGCACGATGGGGCGGTAATTGCCCCAGCGGGGGGCGGGGACCGGGTTGGGGTAGCCGAGAGAGGGGGGCATGGAGCCCCTTCGGTTTAACTGGAACGACTCTCGCCGCTCTTATTACTCGATCAGGTTTCTCCCGGACAGATTAAACTTGTATTAAGCCGGCCCTATTTATGGTCATATTTAAAAACTTGTTGGCCGAGACGAAAAGAAGGGGCGGGGGTAATTTGGGCTTCGGTAATGAGCGGACGTGGCGCCGAGCAATTACAGCGTGTCAACCCGCCTGCCTTCTGCGCGTCTTCGCCCGCCCCGTGGAGGTGAGGGTTCGACTCCCCCTGATGGTCCTTTTTTTGCGTCCGCGGCGGCGTGGCCGCCCATTGTCGGGGTGGCACTGATGACGGCCTGTTTGACTTCCACCAATTAGCGGGGCAAACAGTGGTGGAGACGGGATGTGACGGGCCGCACCCAGTCCCGGGGCCCGGCCCGGCCGCGCGGCGCTACGCGTCCCCAGGGGGCGAACAAGTTCCTGGAAGGAAAGTGTGTGTGCGCGTGTGTTGGTGGGAGCGGGACGTCGGGCTGTGTCAACACCCCGAATAGGCACGCCGGCACGCCACGCCGGCCTGGTGTTGGCCTGGGCCAAGTTAGTGAACTGTGTTCGCAAATAATAAAGTGGCTGGAAGGAGCAAGGAGCCGCGGCAGCCGCGCGGTTCGTCTTTTCGCCCGGAAAAGCGCCTCCCTGTGCCGCGCTGCCATTTCATTCCACGGCCGTGGTTTCAAGCGACTCTTTGTCTCTCACTTTCTCGCTGTCTTTTTCACAAAGGGAAGGGATAGTTTCACGTTAAAACTAGTTTCAAATATCATTCTAATCCTTTATTATCATTTTACAAATTAATCTGTTAGTACCAATATACCAATTCACAATTTAAAGTGTCTGTATTTTCTACTACTGCACAAGAAAAGTGGTAGTGTCGTTTAAGTGCAACTCCAGGTGTTACCCAATAACGCGACTCTCGACCCCCTTTTTTGCAGTGCCCACCTCGTCCGTCTTGCGTCTCGGACGTACGCGCCCCCCAGATCCAACCCCTTCCCCTCCCCCGCGCCGGCCGCGTCGGCCGTGTCGGCCGTGTCCCATGCAAAGAGTAGTCCATTAGTTATGCAAACGCAAATATTCCGGCCCGCCGTCTTTCTTTGGCAAAGCGGCGTATGGCGTCTGTGTCATCTCTCGCTCCCCTCGCCCAAAAAGGGGATGAGTTTTATTCCTTTGTGCCGCCCAGGAGGGCCCAGGTCCCCGTCCCCGACGCCCCGCCGCCCCCAGAGCCGCCGTCCGCCCTCGCCGCTCGCAGCGACTTGCGACTTGGAAACAATGATTGAACGGGGGCAGTGGATCGGAAGACAGCGGCAGGAAAACGCGAGTTAATTAACGTTCGACTTGTCGGAATGAAGATGAACGGAGCTCCGGGGTTGTTGTGGCACCGACCTTTTTTATGCGTTGCAGTCTGTGTGTGTGTTTGTGTTGGTGCGATGTAAAGGTGAGGGGAGAGGGTCCGCGCAGAATGAAGAAGAGGGGTGTATAAATGCTGGTGGCTGCTCTTTCCACGCGAGGGAGGGTTTTGTACGCGTGTGTGTCTATGTGAGAGTGTGTGTGTGGATCCATGGCGGGGCTCGATGATTTATCGCTCCACTATCGCGATCTGTGGTATTTTAAACCGCTGCGCTTGCAGGCTAGGGAAACGAATCAACGGCAGCTAATGGCCGCTAAGTGGTGTGCCGGCCACTGTGCACGCGCAGGTGTGTGTGTGAGTGAGTGTGTAAAGGTGTATGTGTATGTGTGTGGAAAGCGAACCACGCTACGCACTGTACAAGTTCAACACGTGGAGTCGTTTGTGGGGTCTGTCCATTTCTTGCTGGCTTTTGCATAGTTGACGCAGCGGACCAGAAAAAAGTACACCGATATAAACACACTCGAGGCATTTGAAAGGTTGGTTTTGTGTTTCAAACAGCCGATAAACGATTCGAACTGCCAGAGAAATTTGAATGGCGGGTGAAGTCACCGGACGGGTGGACAACATTTCTCGCAGAACCCTTTCTCTTCGTGAAACTACGCATGTGCCCGGCCACGCGGCTACAGCGACGAAGAGGAAGAGGTTGAAGCTGTCAGGGAGGTCCGTCCCGAAGCGAACTGGCTTTCAGCGGAAACGATTGGGACTGCGTATCAGAATGTTTTCCCTCTGGCAGTCTTTTGCAGACACACTCTCCTCTGGCCGAATCGTTTTATGTTTTCGCTCTTCTTTTTGTAGAGGGCAGTATTTTCCCCCTTTGTTTCCACATTTTCTTCACTCTCGCTTTAACCTCTCTCTGCACTGCCCGGACGCGTGAACTGGCCTTTTCTCCGTGCCAGAGGCTTTGCGTCCGTCCACTGCTGCCGGTTGCCTTTCGATCTCTTGCCTACTAGCGTCTTTATCATCCTGTGCGCTCTTTTCCGACCACCCACTTAACTACCCCATTTTCCCTTGGCCTGACCTGACTATCAAACTGTTTCTTCGGCTGTCGACCGACTAGACTAGACCAGGCCGATCTCATCCAGATTCTGGCGCATCAGTGTGTGCGTTCTGGTGGAGTGCTGCCGGCGGGATCGAACTAGGCGGATATGTCGAGAATCCCGTCAGCAAGCCACCACGCCATATACATTACTAACTTGATTTCCTGCTGTCTGATCCCTGCCACGCCGCGGCACGCCGCGCCCAGAATCTCCCCTCTATACCTGGCTGAGCGGCGGCGGCAACATCAGCAACTAGGAGCCGCGCCGACAGCTTAGCGCTAAGTCCCCTCCACCGTGGTGAAGTTTTACACTGTGTTGAAGTTGGAAATAAATCCTGTTTCCGCTCGCGGGCAGGGAGAGCAAGATCCATCTAGTGGAAAACGGGTTGCATTTCTGCCCGTTTTCATGTAATTTATTTTGCCCCCACTTGCCTCGCGCACCCGCTCGCGACCCAAATGCGGGTTTAAACCGCTCGCCACCCCGGGTTGGCGTAACGACGTGGTCCGCTTGCCTCACGTGACTCACGTACTCGATGTGCTCGTGACTCTGTGTGTTTGTGTGTGTGTTAAGTGTATATATGTGATGGTATATGTGAGGTGCGTTTGGCTTGTTGCAGATGTGGTGGAGGTCATGGCTGCTAGGCTGGGCCGTCCTGGCGGAGGCCCTGTCCGTCCTGGCCTTGGCGGAGGCCTCGCCATGCTCCTTCAACACCATGTGCTCCTGCAAGGACAAGGAGGTGGCGTGCGTCGGCGTCCCCTTCCAGCATCTGCCAGGTAAATTTTCTCAAGTTTCGCTCTAGCTGACCTTTTCATGTTCCTCGGGCAAGTGCATAAATTTGTTGTTTTCCTTTTTTGGTTCATGTTGATGGGATACGTGTTAGATTATAACACCTGACCACAAAAAAGGTTATAATTGACACCCCATCATAACCATCGCCGGAGGCGCGATACACTAAATAGAAACGCCCATAAATCGCAAATCATTGTATGCCGAGGCTCAAAGGGACCGATGGGAGCAGAGAAAGAGGGGGGAAAAATCGTGAAATAAATGGAAGGGAAAGGGGGAAACGATGGGCGTCCACTTTCATTGCAGGATGAGCTATCGACGTGCCCCTGTCACCGTTTGTTGTTATCGCCCCCGCTCATCATAACTCATCCGGCGTGGCACGGCACGCCATCCAAAATAACGTGCCGTGCCCTTTGTCACAGCGTGCCGTGCCATGCCGTGCCGCTGCATGGATTGGAATGCGAATGTTGTTCCCTGTCAAATAGATGAAGATCGCTGGAGCAACTTGCTTTTACCTGCGGAACAAGTACACTGTGGGCAAGAGGGGTGCGCCCGTCGGAATTCAAGAAGAACATGGGCAATACCTCTCATTAGAAACTCAATGACGGTCCTCGTTTTGAGTCGATCGTTCCCGACGACTTAATGGTAGCTGAAGCTTTTGGCTGGACTAACACGGACGTGGGAGGGAATGCTTGTTGAGAGTGTAGTCCGTTCCCTGAGCGCGCCCTCATTGGAAAATGTTAGTAATTCAGCAGCCGCTCCGTCCTGAGTGCACCCGTGAGTCGAATTCTTTCCTTGTTCGATGGATCGACCGAGGCGTGCCGCACGAAATGCAGAGCGGGAAACCGGGCGTTTATGAATTGATGACGTCAATAATGCATGGCGGTTGTGTTCTTTTTCTGTCCAGAGCTGCCGCACGAAGCGCTGGAGCACCTGGACGTGGTCCGCGCCGGACTGCCCTGGCTGGAGAACGACGCGCTGGGCGGAGTGCGGGTGTCCTCGCTGCGTCTCATGAGCAACAGCCTGCAGCGGGTGGCGCCCAGGGCCTTCTCGTGAGTACACCCTGTCCAGTCGTCCAAATCGAGGCAGCCGTACAGTCGCGCAAGGCGGCGGGGCGGCCCGATCCCGTGTAACAAGGATACCTCCGCGAGCGTTCGCGAGTGCCGAAAGTCGTACTAAAGGGCCGCCTGCTGCCTGGGAACTATCACGTAAGCCGCTTTCCTCGTGTGTGTGTGTGTGTGTGTGTTGGCGTCTCGCAGCTGTGTTGGTGCGAAACGCCAGCTTCCACCTGCTACTCCGTGAGGGCAAGTTTGGGGGAAGGGGCGGTTCGGCGGGGTGGCTTCTCTCGGGGGGCTTAGCAGCTGCAAAGGGAGGCTCGATACATCCCCTATATCTCTCTCATTTGTGGGCTGCGCACGGCACGGCACGGCACGGCACGGCAGGGCACGCGAGCAGAAGGGGCGGCTTTGTTGTGGTCGCTCCGCAAACTTGCGCATCCTACCTGCCTTTGGCCGGCGCACGCAAACGCTCACACTCACACACACACACACACACACACTCGCTCGCCCTCTCGTACGAGGAAAAGGGGCAGAAACGACTTTCTAATTCGGTGATTCCGTTCGGGACGCCAGTCACTGCCACTTTCCGGGGGCTACACACGGCCCGCCGGGACGCGCCGCGCAGCCCAGCTGTTCTTGTTCACGTGCATTCCCCACGGCTCGGCGCTTGGCGGGGTTGGGTTGGGTTGGGGTTCAAACCCGCCGGGGTTTGTCAATTTTTTTTACCGTTCCTCTGCATCGAAACGCCGTGTGCGCCGCGCTCTTTGTTCTGTCCGTGAATACGGCCCACTTGCCTCTGTTTCCTTCTTATTTTGCCTTGCCGATGCTCTTGGTCCGCTACACTTTAATTTCGGATAATGGGGAACACACGGAAATGGCTGCGTGGCGGCCCGTGCAGACGTGTTTTAATAAAGCAGGGGAAAGCTGTTTGGAGCCTGGAACCGCCCGCTGGCGTCGTGTGTGTGTGTGTGTGTGTGTGTGTGTGTGTGTGTGTGTGTGTGAGAGTGACAAGCTTTCGAGACAGGCTGATGGCCCGATTGTGAGACGTGTCACGTGTCGGCGGCGTGCCTTGCGTGACATGACGGACACGTGTGTCGAACCTTGAACGACGGCGTGCCCGCCGCTGATCTACGTACATTCTGTCCCCGCTCTCTTTTTTTTTCTGTTTACTTTTTCCCTTTTTCTCTCTGCCTTGGCCGTCGCGGTGAGGCGGAAGGGGAAGTTGACGTGTCTGAGGCAGCTGGCTCGTCCGCGGTGCGGCTCGGTGCGGCTCGGTGCGGCTCGGTGCGGCTCGGTGCGGCTCGGCCCGGCGCGGCTTTGCGTGTCCGGCCGTCCTTAACCGATAATGCCTGAGGCTCATTACAGGAATGCCCGGCGGCACCGCCTTCTATTTCTGTTCGATCGCCTCGTAATGGAATCAGCGCATGCCGCGCCGTCTCTCTCGCACCCCCGCGGCACGCCCCACGAGTGCAAGAGAGACAGAGAGGCGGATTCGGATTCGCCGTCCTGTCGCATGCCGCTTCGTGTTGTCCGTCCCTCTCGCGCGCGTGCGGCGCGCCCCGCGAGTGCGAGAGAGACAGAGCGCGGCTGTCGCATGCCGGCGGGCCGTAGTGCGACGCCGCTGCGCCTGCGAGGGAGAGGGGATGAGGTGCGAAACGTGGGGCATCTCCGTGATCGCTGGGCGGGCGACGCCCTGCGCCCCGCCTGCGCCCCGCCTGCGCCTACACTGGCGGGGTTGCAGGCCTCCCATGCGAAAGCAGAAGGCAGCGGCACCGGAAATGAGAGCGACAAATTTCCGGTCGCCTCGCCACTTTTATACATACTTTATGTTTTTTTTTTACTCGTCTTCATAATTTTTATGCCATTTTTCTCGTTATTTTTTTTTCTGCCCCGCTTGTTGCCGTAGGGCTGCCGTAGGCCCTGCCCCCCACCACCGCCACCTTGCAGTGCGTCTTTATAGTGGCCGACTGCGCGGCGGAGCGTTCCAGTTCAAGTTTTATATACGAAGAGGGCAGTGGGCGCGCCTCGCTCGGCACGGCCTGCGCGGCCCGCGCGGCCACTCTGGAGGCCCTAACCCAACTCGGGCCCCCGGCGGGAGGGTCACGTAATGGAAAAAGTAAACCACCTGTCCTCCGGGACCGGGCATTACAAAATGAGGGCCCAGGAAAAGAGTGGAGCATTTCCCACCGACCCCGAGCGAGAGGCTTCTTCTTCTTCTTCTTCTTCTTCTTCTTCTTCTTCTTCTTCTTCTTCTTCTTCTTCTTCTTCTTCTTCTTCTTCTTCTTCTTCTTCTTCTTCCCCCTCTTCCGGGGCATACATTAGAGCGCGCCGCGCGCACGAGGAGCCCAATCTCCATGAAAGGGCGACACGCAGTCCGATGATGCTCAATTTTTCATCCGCGTTTTCCCGTTGGCTGTACGCCTGGCTGCTACGCTGCTACACCGTGCGCGCGGTGGCTGCCGCCGTTGTGGCTGCCGCCCTACTTACACTGTGCCACCCAGTCACCTTTTATAAATGCGGAACCGCATACGTAACGACCCTGTAACGGAAGGGGAAAATGAGGCGTACGGGGCGTATCGGAAAAGGGGGCGGTGTATCGGCTCTCTCAGTGTGTGTGTGTGTGTGTGTGTGTGTGTGTGTGCTGCGCGCGCGTGTGTGTGTGGCGCAGGCACGAGACTGTGTGTGTTTGTAGGTGGGTAGCTGTGTAGGTGGACTGTCAAAACCTTCCAAATATAACCTTCTGAGATTCGCAAGTAAATGGAAAAAAAACTGTCAAAAACCATGAAAAATAACGTTCCTTTGCCTCGGCCTAAACAAACAGAACGAAACACAAAACCAACAACAACACGGGCCTTGCTGGCCGTCCCGCCCAGGTGCTCCGTGGCGCCGCGCTGCACCGTGGAGTGCTCGCTGGAGAGGTTGCGCGCGGTGGCGCGGTGGCGAGAGACGAGTGGCTGCGCATTGATAGTCGCGTCGAGCCCCCAGCCCACTCCGGGCCGCGCTCTCTCTCTCGCACTCGTGGGGCTGCCCGTAGGGGTGCGAGAGAGACGGAGCGACGGGGCACTGTTCGGAATGTGACCTCAGCAGCGCCGCGTCGGTCGCACGTTCGCGAGTGCGCGCGGAAGGGGGTGCAAAGTATATTAACAAGTGTGTGTGCGGGGAGGGCGGCTGACGAGGGCCGCTGCAGTGCTCCTCCCCCTCTCCCCCTCCCCCCCCAAACGGTGCGTGCGTATCGCGGAGGTGGGTCGTCTGCCGCACTCTAGCCTGAAGGACCCATCGATTTACGTGCACTTTGGCGTGCACGAGGGTGGGTCTATCGAGAGTGGCCATCGCCCGCGGCAGCACGGCGGGCGGGGCGGGGCGGCCCTCCTCGACCACGGCGGCACCCTGCAGGTATTTTCACCAACCAGCCGGGGGGGGGGGGGTGTTCGTTCCGTCGTTGAACGCGTTGCTGATGTCGCAGCGCGCGGGACAGGGCGTAATGGCTTTTAGCATGTCCGCGCGTTGGTGGCCCGATTCCAAACAGTGCCCTGGTCGCTCTGTCTCGCTCGCACCGCTGCGGAACGCCACACGAGACCGAGCGAGACGGAAGCCTGTTCGGCCTGTGGGTGGCTGTGGGCCGCGCGCGCTCTCAGCGCGTGTTTTGTGTGACGCGCCGGGAGTGGCGCTGCCCCGACTGCGAGCTGACGGCGGTGGTACTGACTGTGTTGACAGGTCGCTGGCCGACGACCTGCGCTCCCTGGACCTGAGCTACAACCTGCTGGACGAGGTGCCCCTGCACGCCATGGAGAAGCTGGTCAACCTGGACTGGTTCAACCTGCACGGGTGAGTACCGCGTCGTCCTGTGAGTGAGTGTGCTTGGTCATACTGCGAGTGGGAGCATGCAGCCAATTGACGTTTTTTTCCGCCGGTAAAGCGTGTTGCCCTAATAAGGACGGCCATGTCTCGTTTTGCAGTGCAGGCGGGCATGTGTCGGGCCCGCAACGGCACACGATCATGTGTGGTCTGGCCCCTAATGGTAATGGCAATGCGCGGTAGGCCACCAGCGCGGGGCCGGTGCAGGCCTGCGCGGCGTGTGGCCTACCTCACGTTCCGCAGGCGCGCACGGTGGTAGGCACGGCGACTGCAGAGTGCAGGCGCGCGGCGCGGGCCGGCGGGCGGCCCCGGCCGCGGGCGCGCTGCCCCCGCCGGCCGCTGCCCCCGCCCCGCTGCCCCCGCCGCCCGCTGCCCCCGCCCCGCCAGCCGCCGCGGCTAGCCTGATGCTGCCGAACGCACGGGAAGAGACGGCCTCTTCGGCGCAGACAGATCGGCTGCTGTCGTTGAAACTTGGAAACTGCACCACCGGCGCGTTGCTTGCCGTGGCCTCCGCCGTGGCCTCCGCCAAGGCCTCCGCCCTCTTCTGCAGCACGCCTCGGCGCCGAGGGCAAGGTCGCCGTAGTGCCGTGGCGGGGAGGGGCTGCTGGCCGCCAAGGGGCGCCAAGGACTGCGCGCTGTGTTTCGGCCCGAAGAAAGTTGCAGTGAAACACTGAAACAGTGACCAGCTTGCGAGCCGCGACCTCGGCGGTGGCGGCGGGGCGGCACGCGAGCCCAGCGGGCCTCTCGCTCTCTCTCTGTCCCACCGGCCAACCCGACCGCCGTTGACCCCGTCCACACCCTCTCCCCTCTCCCTCCCGGGAAACCACGCCCACTTTGTCATCGTCCTGGATCGCGCGCGACGCGGGGCTAAAATTGACTTTCTATTTACTTAGGGCCGCGCGCTGTGCGCTCCGGCCGCACTATGAGGAATTGCCCGGGCGGCGTGTGTGTGCGTGTGTGTTTGCGTGTGTGTGTGTGTGCGTGTGTGTGTGTGTGTGTGTGTGTGCGCGCGTGTGTGTGTGTGCGTGCGGCGAGGCGTGTGTGCGCTGCGCCGCTGCGCTCGTTGTCATGCGGCACGCCCGGCCGCGCGATTTCTCATACCGCGCCTTTTCACAGCGTAATGAATTTCTCCGCTCGAAGCTGCGGCCGGTTTATTTATTTCGCAGGTCGGCAGCGCGGCGGCCTTGCTTTGCAGGGCGATGCCGAGCGGTGCGCTCTGTCTCTCTCGCGCGCGCGGTGCGTCTCGGGCGAGTGCGAGGGAGACGGAGAGACGGGCCGTTCGGAATGGGGCGGCAGTGTGCTCGCGTTGTTGTTCGTCGCGTGTTGCGGCTAATTTCTGCGGTGATTGCCCCGCGACGCCAGCGCTGCCTGCCTGCCCGCCTGCCGGCTACTCGACTTTCAAATTGCCCGCCGTGGAAACAGAGCAGCGGGAAAAGCGCGGCGGGACTCCCTCGCTTCCTATTCCTCGGCTCCCTGCAGGCTGGGCCCCGACCGGGCCCCAGGCCCCGGCCCACGTGACGTGGGCGTTGTCGCCGCACCGGATGAAGCGGCGGCGAACCCGCGCGGAAAGCAAGACTAACGCACTCGGAAAACGCTGTCGGCGCCGCCGGGAGGCGAACCCGCGCGAGCCGGTCGTGTGTGTGTGTGTACGCGTCGGCGGCGTGCTCGTGCCGCGATGATCCACTGAAATATTTGCCCGCTCCTGGGCATGAAGGCGAATTCATCGCACTGTCGAGAGCAACCCCGCGAGCGTGGGGGCCGTGGGCCGTGCGGGGGCTGCCAGGGAGGTCCGCCCCCGACCGCCCCCGACCGCCCCCCAGGGCCCCGCGGTCTCGGAGGCGGGCGATGATCGTTTGGCTATAGCCACATGCACCCCCAGGGCCCGGCCCGCGGCCTGGCTCGGCCTGGGCATCTCGAACAAAGCGGGGGCGGAGGAGGCAGGGTTGCGGCTCGGGGCGGGGCGGGGCGGGGCCATGACGGATAGGTTCCCCGAAACGCGCACGATTGCTCCATCTTGTTATCCACGGCAGCGAGCCTCAGCGAGCCAGCGGCCCGAACAAACAACCCGGCCGGACAGTCGGGCAGGCGGGCAGCGCGGGTCCAGGCGGGACAGCGCGCCGGCAGGCAGACACGGCCGGGACGCTGGGCCCCGCTAGGTCCTACTAGGCAGCAGGCAGCCCGCTGCGCTGACAATACAGACAACAGGCCGAAGACCGGAGACTGAGCGGCCGCCGCCATGTCGCCGTACAAGCTGCCCCCCCCCCCCCCCCCTCCTCCCCGTCCGCCCAGGCTGCCTTGTTCGGCCCTTCCATGCTTTGATGACGTCATTTCGCCCAAACGGCTGCGTCTCAGGCATCCGTACCTATCGGGGACCTGGTTTCGTCTTTTCGATAAGCGGTCCACTGGTCACGCACGCAGACACACACCACACACACACACACACACACACACGAACGCACGTAGGCCGCGGTCCAATATAGTTGCGATACATACAAGGTCGCCTGCCTCTCGTCCCGCGCGCTGGAACGCTATGCTTGAAGAGGCGGGCTGGCGGGGCTGGCGGGGCTGGCAGCCAAAAGGGCAGGGCGCCCCGCTCACGTTGCGAACGGGAAATAAAAGGAATCCGTGGCGCTCCTTCTCGGTCCTCGGCGTGCCCTGGCCGTGCCCGACCACGTCCCGTGCCAGGTGGTGGGCCGGCGGGGCTGGCGGGGCTGGCAGGCAGGGCCGAGCGCGCCAAATTGCAGCCGCAATCTTCCCTCGCCCGCGCGCCGCGCCGCTCGGAAAAGAGTGCGCTCGGAAAGCGCGGTGGCGGTTCGAGGTTCGAGCGCGCGGCCCTACGCAAGTGGTGTGCCGATACCGCGGTACCGATAGCGCTGCTGTAGAGGGAAGAAAAGATGGTGGAGAATGAAAACACCGCGCTCTGGCTTCAAGTTTCAGTTGTACCTATGCCACATCTCTACCTGCACGCGCGCGCACACACGCGCACACATACACACACACAACACACACACACACACACACACACACACACACACACGCACCTGGAGCCATTCGACGTGGTTCGCTGCGGGCCGCTATGGCGCGCGGCGCTCGCCCAAAAGGAGCCGAACCGGAACCAGCCCTCATTGGGGAAGCGGGGGGAGGGAGAGAGAGAGAGAGATGGAGGGAGAGAGAGGCCACTGTCATGGCGAGGGGGCACGTCAACAAATCTCGAGACGAATTTTCGACGAGAACTGCAACGTCGCATAAAGTTGTGGAGGGATGTGCGTTTTCGAGTTGTATCGTCGTCCTGTGATGGAACTCGAATCATGAAACGGTCTGCTTCCTGTCGAAGGGTTCCACCATCGCGCGTTGTCTGATTCCAGCCCTATTCGGCCCTCTACAGATTAACTCCTCCAGGGATTATTTCTGCCGATGTTAAGTCCCCCTCGCCCACTCGTGGAGGTCTGGCGTACAGCGCCGGTTCGAAATACCACTCCAACTCCCTGACCCTCGATGTCGAGGCCTGAAGCTCCAACAAGCTGCAGGCTGCTGGCGGGGTGGCGGGGCTGGCGGCCCGCCGTTGCCGGGACTTGAATTCACGCGCCTGCATTGAGCGTCTTAACCTTCCCCTCCCCTCACAGCGTAGTCTCATCCCTTTCTATAGCCACTCTAGCAGTGTCTAGGCGGCGCAGTGCCGGGCCATCAGGGGAAGAATGGGCAATAGGAATCGAATGGGAGGGGGAAGGGGGAGGGAATCCAGCAGACCGCATCTTAATTCCGCCATACTTCCCCATCAGCCCCCGGGCGAGTTCTCTGGTTTTCTGGGCCGGTCGGCAGGAAGTAGGGGGCCGGTACGCAAACCCCTGCCGAACCAACTAGCGACTGCCAGCCGCTTCACTGACTGATGTGTGTACACTCGCTTTCTTTTTCGTTCGCCCTTGATTAGTGCCCCCCCCCCCCCGCAGACAGGCGGAAGAAGCGAAGAAGGCGAAGATCGACTGATTTATTCCCTGTGTGGCCGTGACGGTCTGGGCGGCGCCGTGCCGGGCTGAGGGCTGAGGGCTCTACGCCGGCCGGGCCGAGGCCCGAAAGCTTTCCGCGAATTATTTGGCTGCCTCGGAGCGCTCTGTGGCGCTGTGTGTGCGCCGCCGGCCTCCGCCCCGCCGGCCTCGGTCCTGCCGCCTCCGCCGCCGCTCAAAGTGAATATTCCGCGTTCGTGATCATTTGCGCGTTGCGGCTTCCCCCACCCTGCGCTACTTTCAAGGGGAGGCCCCCCCCCCCACACACACACACCCAGTCGAATTGCGCGCTGAAGCCAAGACGCGCTTCAGGCAGAGGTCCCCGCCCCGCCCCGCCGCCGGGTAATCCTGGCAAGTGCCCTGCAACTCGGCAACGGCCATACATATGCGCAACAGGAAGATTGGCGCGCCGTTTGGGCCGTCGGGGCCGTCGGGGCCGTCGGGGCCGTTGCGGCGGCCGGGAAGGCGGACCTGCCGCGCCGCGCCGCCCTCCTCGCAGGGGCGGCTCCGGCGTCCTCCTCCTCGGCGTCGTTGTCGGCGGCGGCGAGGCCCGCGCGCCCCTCTCAGACCGCCGCCGCGCCGCCGCCACGCCCGCGGCCGTTGCGGATATGCCCCCCATCCCCACCCTCCACCCCGTGTAGGCGGGCGGGGGCAGGTAACGGCTTTGTTGTAGGCGGCCACGCGTTCTAATACACAATAAAAAATGATGGCCGTTTGAGAACGGCATCGCATCCCCGTGTTGTAGGTGTGTGTGTGTGTGTGTGTGTGTGTGTGTGTGTGTGTGTGTGTGTGTGTGACGAGAGCGGAGCGAAGGGGCGGGAAGCATCGAACCGCGTAACGGTATTATGGCGTCTGCGGCGGTGGGCCGGCCCGCGCCCGGCATAGGCAGCGTGAGAGAGACAGAGGAAGAGAGAAAGAGCCGTAAAAAAATTGCCGAAGAAGGTAAAAAACGAAGGAAAGTTGTCGGATGATT